GTGGCCACTGGCTGCGGGGTGGAGTGAGGGGGGTGGTCTCCATCTAGAGGCTGAGAACCCTTCGGGAACAGGTGGAGCGTGAGTGTGTGTGTGTGTGTGTGTGTGTGTGTGAGTGTGGAGGGCTGGGGTGTGCCTGCCATGGCCTAGCCTGGAGGAGTGACCTGGAGCCTGATTGGGAGCATGTGACGAGCTCTCTCTGCTTTGTCCCCCGATTCATCCTTACTGCGAGTCTCAGAGATGGGGATTATGGTGGTAAGTCCCATTTTGCAGATGAGGCAACTGAGGCCCCAAGGAGACAGGGCCAGTTAGTGACAGACCCGGGTGTCACGTCAGATGGCTTCACTCCAGATGCCGTTCTTGCATGGCCTTTCCAGTCTTTGTGGCCTTGTCACATCACTTGGCCTCAGTGGGCCTAGATAGGGACCGTGAAGGCCCACGGGGATTGGGAGGGAGCTGAGAAATAGAGGATTGCTAAGGCAGAAACAACAGGCTGCCCAAGGATGGGAGGGACGGGGCTGGAGGCTCAGCCGTGTGGGACACATGGCTTGTCCCTTGGCTTTCCCAGTGGCGTGTCTTGTCCCTGCCCCTCGGACTCCTGGGCCAGGGCCAGAGTGTCGGGATGGAGCAGGCTCCAGAGCACCTCTTCTTGCTACTGCTTGTCAGGCACGGCCCTCTGCCAAGGCACGTGGGCTGTCCTGACTCCCTGGGCTGTCACAGAAGCAGGGACCCAGATGGCTCTGAGTGCTCCTCAGAGCAGAGGTATCCTGGAAGTAGGCCAGACATGGTGGGCTTGGTATGGGGCCGAGGGCATAGTTAAGAAGGGTCAGCCACCCTGGGACCCCAGGCCCAGGTCACAAGCCACTCAGTTGTCCCTCTCAACCTCTGAGTGCCTGGTGGCAGGAAACGTGAACCGATCATCACATTGTCACCATGAAAGGGCCTTTTACTGTTACTAAAAGGAAGGGCCTTGCCTCATCTCACCACCTAGGGGCTGACCTATGACCTCTGCTCCCTGTCCTCTCCTACCAGTGGCCTTTGCTACTTACCTCCTTTCGTTCTAGCATCTGCCGCTCACTGGCTGGGGTCAGACACTGCTGCGCCCTGGAAGAAGAGACATGAATGACATAGTGCTGGTCTTCCCAGAGCTTGTGGCTCTGTGCAGGGGGTGAGACAGACAGGCAGACAAACAGACACAGCCGGAGAGCGAAGATTTGCGGGGTTTCAGGAAACAAAGGACTACATTTCCCTCAGTATCAGGAAGACTTCTCCAGAGAGGAGCCATGTGAGGTGGGTCTTCAAGGATGCATAGGAGCTTTCTGAGCAGAGGTAAAGGAGACAGAACTTTTTTTTTTTTTTTTTTTTTTTTTGCGAGATTTTTGCTACTGGCTCATGTGCTCACCAAAGACCCATAGAGAGACAGGAAATGAGAAATCACTCCCCAGGGGGAATGGCCACACTATAATCCCTTCTTCCCCATTCTCTTCTTGAGATTTTGGGCATGTATGCACACATGCCCGGCGTGAGTTTCAAGCCACCAGGTCCAGGACTCAAACCACGGTCAACAACATGGGAGTCCAGTGACGTAACTATTACGCCATCTCCTGGTCTCGAGAAAGGTTTTCTTTCTTTCTCTTTTTCTTTCTCTTTTTCTTTCTTTCTTTCTCTTTCTTTCCTTTCTTTTTCTTTTTCTTTCTTTCTTTCTTTCTTTCTTGCTTTCTTTCTTTCTTTCTTTCTTTCTTTCTTCTTTCTCTTTCTTTCTTTCTTTTCTTTCTTCTTTCTTTCTTTCTTTTTTTAAATCCAAAATGTGTTTATTGGGCTGGTTTCCCAGTCATCTTAGTGCTGCTTCCTCCTGAAGGAACATCCTTCTGTAAACTTCACTTCTCCTGGAGGCTGGCAGAGGACAGTGGAGCGGCCAACGCACAGAACCGCCGTTGGTGTGTGGGTAAAGACTGGTGATTCTGTAGCATCCCGGGCACTTCACACCCATGAAGTAGGAATCTGGGCTCTACCCCAGGCGCTGCTTCTTGTGTTTCCTCTTCTCTTCTGGAGAGGGATGAAGGGGGTCCTTTGCGAGAGGCATGTTCTCGTGGGGAGGTGGTCACTGCTGGGAAGTTGAGAAAGGGTTTCTATACAGAGCAGTATGTAGCCCTAGAAGGACACTGGAGTCCCCTGAGGCAATTTTTAAATACTGATGTAAGGGTTTTTTTTTTTTTTTTTTTTTTTTTAGAGATTTATTTGCTACAGGGTGTGTGCACCCGCCAGAGAGAGAGACAGACAGAAAGTGAGAAATCACCCCCCAGGGGGGATGGCCACACCACAATCCCTTCTCCCCCATTCTCCTATCAGGATCTTGGGCACGCACGCACACGCACCCAGCTTGAGTTTTAAGCCACCGGGTCCGGGACGCGAACCGCGGTCGACTACATGGGAGTCCAGCGCCATAGCCATTACGCTAACTGCTGGTCCCCTGATGTAAGTTATTAATGCCAAAGTTTCATCTCCAGGAGTCTGAGTTGTCTGAGTTTTCACCTGTGCATTGGGATGTTTATGTATTTATTTATTTTTAGTTGTGCTAAGGGTGTGTGCACTTTCCAGAGAGAGAGTGGGGAAAGTGAGAAATCATCCTTTGAGGGGGATGACCACACCGTAATCCCTTCTCTCCCATTCTCCTCTTGGGATTTGGGGCACACACACACATGTGCCCTGCGTGTCTCCCGAGCTGCTGGGTCTGGGGCTCAGATCACACCATCAGCCATTGGGATCCAGTTGCCTCAACCACCAACCACCGGCCTCAGAAGTTCATGCTCTTGTTTCCTTTCCCAACCTCCTCTCCAGCAGATTGGCTCATGCTCTTATGCACACGCTTACACGCTTGTGCACATGTGTACCCAGACCCACTCGTGTATGTTTCCAGTTCAGGGAAATCCATTTCAGATAGATCCAGATTCCCCTGGCTGTCTTCTCAAGAGTTCTGTGCAAGCAGCCATGCCAGAAGACCCTTAGTGAAATGTAGATTATGAAGGTCCACCCTCAGGGGAGGGCATTGTTCAGTCCAGCTGAGGGCCTGGGGTCATGTGTGTGTGTGTGTGTACGCACATGTCAGTGAGTGTGCATGCCGGGTTCCTGTTCTCAGCTGGACAACTTAACAAGGAATGACTGCAAGAGTGGGACCTCTCCCCAGCTCGCAGGGCAAGATTCGTGAGACCTTCCGAACACTCCGTGGGCACAGGCTGCATGCAGCTCCCTGGGCCTGGCTTCAGAAGACGGTTCCAGAAGAGCAGATTAAATTCTGGATAGGATGTCCACCTCTCTACACTCCACTCCTCCCTGAGCCCACGGCCACATCCTTCAAGGCCCGGTGCTATTTTATTTTCCCATTACGCCACCTGCAGCCATCTCCCCTTTCTCACAGAGGTGAAGGGGGCAGAGCCCAGGGGCTGGGCACTGGACGGCACAGCCATGTGTACGGACTGTGCTGGGACTGCACAGATGGAGGCCCCGCCTCACCCAGGGCTTGCCTGCAATGCAGGGCAGACACATGGGCACAGCTGGTTCCTGAAGACGGGCGCCAGGCTGCGGTCAGCCATGGTGAGTCTGCAAGAGGCTGGAGCAGGGGTTCCACCTGCCTCCCTCCGTCTGTGCTGCTCCCTGGGCCAGCAGCCCGGGCCACAAACAGCCTGGCCTTTACAGAGCCAGCCTCAGACATCTGCAAGTCTCCACCCCTTCTAGTGCATTCGTACTGCCGTTCTCACTCTGCCCTCTGCTGCCATCCCACCTTCACAGCTGCTCTCAGCTTCCCAGCTCCAGGGGGCAGCCAGGCACGGAGGGCCCACCTTGCAGAAAGGGAGGTGGCTGCACTGTCTGTCCTCCATTTGTCACCTCTCATGCATCTCTCTTCTGGTCCCCTGGGCCCGACAAACTACATCTGCCTCTCTGGAACCAGGCAGACTGGGACTTAGGCTGATAAGCAATGGCTGTTTTACAGATTCTGGGCACATGTCTTTTCTCCAGATGGCATGACAGAGTCCTAGGGGGCAAAGATTGGAGATTTTCCTCTCCAAATCCTCGAAAGGGCCTGGCAAAGTGGATATATTGGTTTCTTCATTCAAGAATGAATAAGAAAAAGAAAATATGGTAACTCACTCTTTTATTTTTTTCTTCCACAAATAACTACCAAGCAGCTAATTTGTTCAAGGCCCTGAGAGAAAGGGACCAAGACCGGGTGACTTTTTACAAGGCCTCAGAGAAGCTCTAAGGCAGAGGGAAGCCCAGCCACAGGGTTTCAGGCTCTCTGTGGAGTGGAGACTTTGAGGACAGAGGTCCGGCAGAGGACAGAGCTCCACAGCCCAGTGCCTGGCCCTCAGCAGATGCCACCCACGTTTATCCGATGTGTGCCAGTGAATGAATGCGCTCTGCC